TAGTATAGCTTGCTGATCGTCATTTTTATTTATAATATTTAGCCTCAAAAAGAACTGTTTATTATGATTCGCCTATGATATTTCGTCATTTCCAATCATGTTTAGTTATTAGATTAGCCAAAATGTTTTCTTTGACAACAAAAGAAGGAGAAATGAAGCACACTAGGGAAAGTGAGATTTCTGGTAAACACAGCGGTTATAAAACTAGAGAATTTTAGTGCTTGCAGCCGCTTCATGATTTGTGACTTGAACAGTACAAGCTCGGCTAAATCAGTACAGTCAATTTTTGCCTCTAGGAATCTCTCTGAAACAAGCTTAAGTTTCGAGAGAAATGCTAGATAGTTGGTATAAGTGTGAAGATTATCGCATATGAAGTAATCAGCGCTATTGGAAATATACTGTTAGCCATTCCTGGACACAATAACATCGATTTCAAATAAACATGGAAGAAGATTCTAGTTGCATTCTCATTGTAGCTTCTGTTTTGCAACTTTTGTGCTCCTTACCGTCGGTTTTTTCCAGTAATCCTTTATGCTCATATTTGTTATCGACGATACTGCTTCTGTTTCCGATACCGTTAGCGAAACTGTTTGTCATCGGTCTGTGTATAACTGAGTCAAGAGTCCAAAGAAGAGTGATTCTGTGCAATCCAGTATTCCAGTTAACCGTACAACCTCGTATCTACTCGCTCAACTATATATCGCCACTTCATATATACTGTATTGTCACTAATGCTACGAACAGTTATAATTTAAGCGTCAGTTGTTCCTCGTAAGAGTCCCGCGTGGCAAACTCGTTTAAAGTTGAGCATTCTACTTCGAGGTGGTAACTTTGTGGTGCTAAAGACTAACCCGAAGTTACCTCTTGAACAACCAGTACATGTTGATATAGTGAGCAATAACGTCGAAAACTCTATCACATATGCGTTACCAAAGCGCGTGTTACAAAGATTCTCTAAAAAGTTTGAGCTTGTGAGACTACTAGGATATTTTTCATCAGCTGTATATCTAATGTCTTTCTAAACGATGCACTACAACATTTTGCTATGGGAATCCCAGAATTTCCTACATGCAAATCGTTTTCTCGCGTTCATTCTCCACATAGATATTTGAAGACTTATGTGCTGCCACAACTGTTCTTCGTCTTCTTCGTCTTCTTCATAAATATTTTCGAATGTTAAACGAGTCAATTTCCTTTACAATTCTAAAGACAGCCGAGTTCAGGCGCTCCCACATGATCGCAAGAGAGGTGGCTAATAGCTTGCTTTCTCATAAGTTTCTGATAACCTGTATCACAAGTCACGTGGTCATCTCTGAACGTGATTCGAGTAAGTTTAGATGAACGCGATACTCCATCTAAGCACATGAATTTGATCAACGCCCAGGTTCATCATCATCGGCAATGAGAAGTTGTCGTAACCACTGCAGAATACCGTGTGTACTAGAATTCAAAGTGTGGAAAACTTTAGTTCATCAGCCTGTAGACAGTTGAAGCCACATATTTGACAAAATGGACATACCAATCGATTATTGTCGAAGCGATATGATAGGCTTTTTGTGACGTTTTCATTTTTTGTTTTGAACAAATGCCTTACAAGCATGAGAGCGGCGCTTTCTGTCTCACTCTTTTAATCAGCTATAATTTTCAGTTGCGTTATAATTTTATCGTTGACCTTTTAGGTACGACAAGGACACGCCGCTAGCCCCGCCTGGTTGTGCGTGATCACTGACCACTCGGAACTACAATCGCTCGCCGCGTGTGGGGCGTGAGGCGGAGTAGGGGGCGTGTCACTGCCGTACCCAGAAGGTTAACATGTTGGTAACGACAAGAGTCGATTTCAACCCTTGTCGCACACCGCGTGTGCGGCAGGGAGGCGCGGCGGCTCGACGGGGTGGAATCTACACTATCACGCTTTGCAATGGAAATATGATAGTTTGTTTGATAATGTGAAGTACAGAGGGGATATTGTCGTGATAAAATGATGGAATATAACAAGAGATACTTCGATAAAAGTTTTATATTTCAAGGAAATGCCCATGTATCAAAAATCATCCAAGTTTTCAACGGGAAAATGCAAATAACGTGAAAGGGAACTTATTTCAAGCTTTTGTAAAACTTTGCTTCTTTCTTCTTTACCCATGATTTTCTATCTTTCCTATGTTTGCTTTGTGAAAAGACTTTTATAGCCCGTTCTACAATGAAAAAGGACACGTTTTACAGTAAGAGTTCGTTATTATCAACTTCACAAGGTATTTCTTGACATTGTAAAGTAAATTTCTAATTCCGAGTTATGATCGATGCAGAATAATGATTGTGATGCAGAAGAAGGAAATATTATAGAAATGCCCCTATAAATATATAGAAATGTCCCCTATAAAGGGTATATAGTAAAGAGAATGCCCGTGAAATCTTCTATGTTTCAGCGAAAAAACCGCTTTTTTACAAGGAGAAGCATTTTTCGTGAGTTATTGATGTTTTCATTAGTCATTCGATAACCTGAATAGTGCCGCTTTGATAGCAAGCCTGGTTCCTGAAAGAACCTCAGCACTACGTTATATTCAAGGAGAAGGTTGACGTTTTGCCCTCATGATGCGTTGTTTCAACTTCACAATGAAATTTTTTTATTATCTTTCATAGCAATAAACTTTGATTTTAATCTAAGTTTTTTGTTAGGAAAGATAGTTCATCGTTAAAGAGATTTCTATAAACGTATATTCAGTAGAAAACGCCTAATTATTATAAATCTTTTCTGACCATCAAAAATTGTTTGAATCCGTGTGTATTGTGTGGATCTATTCACCTTGTTTATTCAACAATCAACATACGTATAACGTACAAACATTAACACTTATATGTATACATACATATTTACACATAATACATATATATATAATATATATATATATATATATATTCATCTTTATATATACTCGTTTGCATGTACAAAACACATATGTGCCACATATACGTCATGTCATTTATACATATAACATATAACAACTATGACACAATAATTTGACTCAATAAAAATACAATACTTCCCAAATAGTTTACTTAGTCTCAAACGTTTGAGATCACAAATTTCATGAGTAGCATAATAACATTCCAAACAAACGTGATTTTTAACTGACTGCACCTAGTAGGTGTTTTTTTTTTAGCATGATCTAAAGCATAACTATAATCCAAATTCTTATTCACCGCGTTTCTATAGCACTCGATGCATGGAGAGACGTGTGTGTCCACGGTCTCTGTGTTTGACCTATCGGCTGATGTGCTGATCTACCAGCTGATGTTCCAGATGTAACTGCTGCTGACAACCTTTACTTGGAAATTTATTAGACAAACTTCCGTACAACACTTGTGATTATCGGCATTACAATAGCCTGCCAAGAATTCTATATATATAGGATATCTTGCATAGAATGTATAACAACTTCCACAGCAATATACCACATATCTCGTGGCAGATATCATAATATATATATATATACAAAGGAATAATGTTTATTCTCATGCAGCTTTTCCGACATTGAAAGGACGGGCGGCCCATGTTTCTCATGTGTTGATGGACTTCGTAAACTACCTGCATGATCTTGTTGAGGTGAATCGCGAAAATGGGAATTGGAGGAGGCAGAAAAAATAGTCTTGAGAGAAATCAGCTGAAAAGAAATACATAGGGTACAGAAGTTAGTGGTCATTGTGTCATGAGTTGCCACTTGTTCTCAGGCGCATAAGAAGTTTTATGTTCACTCACTCTTTTCCTTTCAATTCACTTAAAATTCATTTGTGATTCTGTATGAAGATGAGTTGTTGTTGGTGTAGTTAATGAAAGACGAATATGATCAAAGCATGAATGAATAATAAATTACAGGACTATCTAACGATGTTGAGTAGCAGATCGAAGGATCATCTTATACTAGATATCTGCCTTTTCCGTCAAGATTCGAAGCTTTAGGAGGAAATATTGCCGTTGTTCCTACCACAAGAAGTTTCATGGATGTCTCTTCTTTTATAATTGATCATTTACTGCGGACGAAATTTCCTTTAGTAACGATAAATATCCATACTTCAATAGACAACTAACGCAACGTCATTGCTGCCGCCGCATATCTGGCGGCACGGCGCGGCGGTGCGACGAGCAGGATTTCAATGTCTTTACCAACGTGTTAACCCGTTGACAACGACGTTGAAGCCCTGCGCGACATGCGGCACCGTCGCGCTGCGTACGCCGCGGTGCCACATGATGTTGTGGTAGTTTTCTAATGAAATGTGAATTTTTATTGCACCAAAGGGAACTTCGTCGCCTGTAAGTGGTAAAGTATGATAGAGGAGACATCGATAAGCTATGTGTAGCTAGCGTAGCGGAAACAATGGTGATGCTTTTTCTAAGGCCCCGAATCTGGAGGAAGAAGGCAGACAGTCTTTGAAATTACTTTGATTGCAAAACGTTAGCTTTTGTCGTTGGTAGAACGTAAAAAAAAAGTCAAAGCAAACTAAGTGGAGAGTAGATATTTCTCAAGTTATCGAATGACTACAGAAACAAGGGTGAAAAGGAAATAAACGAAGTTTTTATAACAGTTGGAAATATGTTCCCCTTCACACCAATGTGCTTTTGCCGTTGAAACTCAGATGATTTTTGATACATGGGCATTATATTCCCTATAAGACTTTTTATAGAAATCTCTTCTGCTATATTACATCATTCAATCACGATAATATCCTTTCAGTACCTCGGATTACCATACAAGTTCCCATATTACCATTGCAAGGCGTGATAATAAAATCTCTCGCCGTTCGGTCTGAGCTAATAACAGCCCAGATCGTTGTCAACGAGTTAAGAAACGGTCGTCTATTCCAGATGTCAACCTTCCGTCCACTCCGCCGTATGTTCATGCAGAGGGCATTGCAGCTTCAGTGATCATGGCCACGGTGAGACTTGAGCTGTTGTTTTATAACTTATAACATAGAGATATTGAAGAATGAGTGGTCAGGCAAATGTGGCCTTGGTGGTGTAGTGGTAGAGCACGTGTCCCCGGATAGGACGAAGCGCGTTATCTATTCCCGCCTGAGGCCGTGTTTTTGCTCACCACTCAATTCTTTACTTATAAAAGTAGCATTGTTTTGAAATATAACTTCGTACTTGATCCCCATGATTGGACTTGTACATCGCTTCATTCCAAAATATTAAACGATCTTTTGTTCAGATGTAACATGCATCGCATTTTTGTGCAGAAAACTCAACAATTATAAAGAAAATAGTGCTTGATAGTAAATCACTTTAAGAAGTATACGAACAATATCTTTCTAAGAAGTGTAAAATCACATCGCTCATCGACCTCTTTGAACTACCATCAAGCAGATAAAAGCTGCTTTTTCTAAAGAAAAGCAAAAATATATGATTTCCAGGTAGGAGTGTTTGGCTTAGTCTCCAACGGCATTGCTATATTGGCAGTGCGGAACAATCCAGCGTTGCGAAATTCGTTCGGACTGCTGTGCGCCTCCCATAGCGCAGCCAAGATGGGTGTTCTATTTATTTTCGTCTTCTGGAATGCACCGTTGACATTACTGTGAGAGTTAATAGCTCAGCACTAGTTGGATTAGTAGTGAGCAATCGCTTTGTGAGTGGCTTTTTTAGGAGTTACGTCAATTACATCAATTTTGTCTTTTGGTAAATTTGAGACAGAAATGTGGGATTTTTTCAAAGTGGATATCACTGACAGGTCTGTAAGAGTCTTGACCAACGTAGTAGTTTAGCAATGACGTTAACCTTTGTTATGGTGAACTAGCGACTCATGGAGGATCTTTGACGATGGAGTAAAGTCCTATTTTTATGTGTAATGCTTCCAACATGCACTCTGATATTGATACTGTTGTCACAAGTGAAGAAGCTTAACAATTGAGTTCAGATAAGGAGGTTTTCCTCCTACTACGTGTCTGTTTTCTGTGTGCCCCTAGTGGGCTTTTTAAATTAGTCTCAGCTTTGCCGTCTAGGCATTCGTCTATACAAACACAGAAATTCTTTAGGTGATAGGTCTTTCCTTATCGTCGATGTACTCGCCACCGCACTCATTACATGCGATTAAATGAACCGTACCCGTACTCATGCTGTCAGCGTCTTTACCGTTAAAGCATATTAGATGAACAAATATGACTGCCGTCTTTCATGCTGAAATAATAGTGAGAATAATAATGTACGGACTATTCTTCTTTCGTTTGAAAGTAGGTTGAAGGCGCTATTTATGTATTTTTTTTATATTCCAAATTTTTGTATGATGGTTTTCATAGGACTTTGGAGATGGCAACTTTTTTACTTCATTCTGAGCTTTCGCGAGCTTTGTATCACATGTTCGGTCGACTATCCTTGCGGAGGATCGATGGATCATCTCGGATATGTGGCTGACGTTCCGGCAAGTACGCCTTCTTCAGAGCCTGAATGTTTTATTTAATGTAGTGTTATTTATACAGTTTGCAGAATATTGTGGAGAAAATGAAAATCTTAGGCATCAATAAACCACAACTGATTCAGAAAAACCACTCACCGTGTTATCTAGACTAGGGACCACCTATTTTGCGCAGGGTGACGTATGAACCCGATTCCACCACCCTCGCCCTCCCCCCCCCATGTCACTAGGTCATATCGAAGATAGGTGTCAGCTGATATTCACACTAGAATATCAATCTGAGATTAGTGCCATGTGTTTGGTTAAGTTAAGGCACTCTCCCTTTTAATCATTTGCGGGTTTTTGAAATTTACCCAGAAAGTGGCATAGTTTTTCGCGCCTATGTTTTCGATTATCCTCTAGAATTTTAACTGCTACTTCAAAGTCGCCATCTCTATGCCTTTGAATATTGTGTGCACTTAGAGGTTTATTTGTGTCTTTATTTGCCTTTCTGTCTAGGTGCTCTTTCATGCGATATAAAGTGGTCTGTGTGTTTCCTGGTGTTTCCCACGATGAATAGTTTTTCCTGAATCAGTTGTCGCTTAGTGCTTTAGACTTTCATTTTCTCAACAATACTCTACATAATTATATGAATAGCGCTGCAATAAATAGTACGCTCAGGTGCTGAAGAAGGTGTATTCACCGAAACGTCAGCCACATATCTAAAAAGTTCCATCGATTGTCACCAAGGACAATCGATTGCATAAGCGGTTCAAGCCTCACAAAACTCAAAATATAAGTTAGTTTGAAAACATTTCTAAAAATATTTAGCTATTAAAAATGAATAAATAGCGTTTTAGCGTATTTGCAAGCAAAAAATTAAGGCTGCATATTTTAAACTTTTGTTGCAGCAGAAGGAACGGCTGAGTCATAGTTGTACACCTAATAGCCTAACTAACCTAACCTAACAGTATGCACTTTTTGTTTTACTAGACAGTCATACAAGCGCTTTGGAACTAGCTGGCGCTTAAAATCATTCGGTGGTAATTCAATCACTGCTACCGATTCATCTGGATCTGTCCTTTTCAAGCAAGGCTATATAATCTGATAAGGATATAACATTTTTTGAGCTGCTAGGTGTAGTGCTATACAGGCGCCTGTTTCTTCCTATTGGTACTCATCAATAGCAGCTTCCTTGAGGCTAAATAATCCTCTATAAAGGAATCGACGCCGAGTACAACAAATCACCACAAGTCATATGATGGAATTACCTGACATTGTGAGTGACCGGTAGTCGAGTTTGTAAATTTACAATGAGTCGCTCTCCTTTCAACCCCTCTTTTATAAAACGGCTCAAAATGATATAATCTCATAAGGATATAATATGTTTTGAGCTGCTAAGTCTAGTGCCACACAGGCGTCTGCTTCGTCCTATCGGGACGGTCACCACAATATCAGGTAATTTCATCATGTGACTTGCAGTGATTTTTTTTTTACTTGGTATCGATTACTTTGTAGAGGATTATTTAGCCTCAGGGATCGGCTAAACCGAGGGAGAGTGCTACTGATGAGTCCCAAGAGGGCGAAACACGTGCCTGTATAGCACTAGACCTAACAGCTCAAAACATGTTATATTCTTATCAGATTATTCATTTTGAGCGGGTCTGTAAAGGAGCGATCGAAAGGAGAGGCAAGGTTATATAGTTATTCCGTTTGGAAAAAAGAGCAAGTTCAACAGGTGTTTACTTCGCTAGCATCTCGTTGAGGCGCGCCATTTCCTCTAGACTTATTCCGGAAAGCTACACTTTCGTAACCATTATCTCAGCATGCTGACAGATATTGAATTCATAAAGACTCAATTAGAAATCCTTCAATTTAACTGCTTTTAAAGGTGGTATACTGTTACAAATATATGTTCAATAATGCTAAATAACATGCAGAACTGGAATCGTACTCAGATCAATGCCGATATGTGCTTGACAAGCCAAACCGTTGGCGGTTAGCTGCTGGCAGATCGATGCATTCTGTTGAAGAATAAATGGTGAAATAACAGGAGCGTTGGTAATGCAATTGATAGGCACGCGTTACGGGAACGGGTGAAATGAGGGTCTGGTTCTCGTCTAACATCAAGTTTTGTGTATCACTCAGTATTTCTGGATAAATAACTAACTAATAACAATATATTCTAATATGTCTGCTGATTACTCAAATTGGGAATAAAAGCCCAATATTTGCAGTGGTAGCGAGATAACCGCGAGTCTACCAGGCAAATTGTTCGGTTTGGTGGCTGCCATGCTATGGTATGAGTGCGTCTACTCCCACCTCACTATATCTTTGAACAGAGTGATCGCCATCGCGCTACCTGTACAAGCTTCCTTTCTACTAACCATCAGGAATACCTCTTTTGCCGTTCTCATCTGCTGTACTCTCGATTTTTTCAATATAATGCCGCTTCTCTGGAGTGAGTTCTGATTTTTTGGGCCGTTTATTCTTATGAATAGGATTTTATTAAACCTCGGCAACATCAGTCGGTGCTCACCTATATTTTTGAGCGGTTGACGAGGCTATAGCAGAAATATTCATTTGGATAGCGTATTGTCGTCTTTGTCTTCTTCGGAGCCAGATTGGTCCGTGTGACTGAAGTACTCCTCAAAAAATTTAACATCTTACTGTATTTCTTACAAAAATATGCCCGCCGGTGAGTGGCTGTCTACAAGTTCTATAGATCAGGTAATGAACATCATCACTAACTGTGGCTTGCTTAATTTTACTACGGACGTCGGTCCTACGCCATTTTTAGAGCAGCGACTTGATTTACATCAGGGATCGACGGAACGACGGAAGAGAGTACTAATAGATGAGTCCCAAAGAGATCGAAATAGGATCGCTAGTATAGCACTTATAGAATCCCTAAAGGTGAGGTCTCAAAATAATGTCATATCCCTATAATTTTCAACCACACGGAAAGTCAAACGAAGCGCACGTGAAATAGCGCAGTGAAGTTATAGAGTTCTCGCTTCGCGCACGAGGTAAATGTCGATTTCGCGACCTTGTGGCTCACTCAAGACATTCACATCCTTAACGAGGTCGATAAATTGATACACAGGTGCGTATCAGACTTACTCTCAGCGCACTAACCAGCGCTGATCGACAGCTGCCCGGACCACTGCGAGCTCATAGTAAAGGCCAGATAGCTTACATATCATCTCAAACAAAGTTAATATAGATGAAACATGATACATGTGCCATACCCATAGGATAGATCAACACCAACTGTACAGAGCTTTAATCCTGTAGCACAGAATAACGCCGATTCGATTGGTTTATATGTGTCCGTTGAACGTCGTGTTTACAAACCAAAGCAATTTAATTGTGCACACACATCTACGTCAACTGCAAAACCTCCCACCCCTACGCTGGATGTGATGGATTATCCCACATATGTCTTGACTCCTACATTATAGATAAAAGTGTGCTCTATGCAGGTTTGAAAGTACATGAATCAAGGCACACTAGGAGCTAGCTAGCGCTGTGTGAGAAAAGAACGAAGCCAATAGGAGCATTCACATCTATCCACGAGAAGGGTAGAATTTATAATGAACGACGCCATAGCATGATAACATTCCTCAATTATTTCTCGTACTATTAAATTCCTCACATTTCATACAGAGAATTGGGAGACTATACCTAACG